CATGTAATAGCTAGAACTTTAAACTTTCCGCATTTTAATTTCCGCAATTATAAACTGCCTAGATGTATGTTAATAGGATTGTATGGAAAGACTATCTGAAATTAATACAATAGAAAACTCTAAATTTGCAAAGATAAATTAACTGAAAATATACACTCGCACATGCTCACTCCTAGGGTTTACTCCACTCCGGTTGCCTTTGGTAAATGGTCATGAAGTATAGGGTTTGTTAGTGGTCATCCTCTAGTCCCAAAAGATCTAACAATGACCCATTCAGATGTTGCCTCAGAAAAGATCTTTAAGGCTTTAGGAGGATTACTAAGATTCCCTAACATTGCTTTTGTGACCGTATCTGTCCCTTCAAACGTCCCTTAAAACTCCAACGATGGAGCTACCTATTCCTTAATAATGGGATAACGCTGTCAAAAGGAAAATGAACAGACTTTTTTCGAGTAGGTAGATTAACTCTTAAGTATTTGCTCAATCAATCAAACAAAACTTTTTACACAAACACTTTTTCAAAACAATTTTCAAAACAACTTCGTCACACCCTTGAGGACTGATACAAGGGTTATCACGAAGTAAAACTTTTTTTCTTCAAAACAAGCACACACACAAGCAATTTTAAAAATGAGCAAGTACCTAAGAGCCCATGGAAAACCATGGATAGAAAGGGTGCTAACACCTTCCCTTTCTATAATCTACCCCCCGTACTCAAAAATATTCTCGAAAAAGGTTTTTTCTGTTCTTTTTCCTTTTCCTGATTGGATAAAATAAAAGTCGGTGGCGACTCTTGCTTACCGTGACATTTGCAAATAAAAAATGCAAACCAGTATAACAGTCGGTTCTACCACCGTATCACACCTATTATCCAGGCTTTCATTTCGAAGTAACCCTACGACCCAGGTTCCTTCTCATAGCCATACTATCCAGACTTTCATTTCGAAGTAACCCTACGACCCAAGTTCCTTCTCATATCCTTACTATCCAGACTTTCATTTCGAAGTAACCCTACGACCCATGTTCCTTCTCATAGCCCCACTATTCAGGCTTTCATTTCGAAGTAACCCTACGACCCAGGTTCCTTCTCATAGCCCTACTATCTAGACTTTCATTTCGAAGTAACCCTACGACCCAAGTTCCTTCTTATAGCCCTACTATCCAGGGTTTCATTTCGAAGTAACCCTACGACCCAGGTTCCTTCTCATAGCCCTATTATCCAGGCTTTCATTTCAAAGTAACCCTATGACCCAGGTTCCTTCTCATAGACCTACTATCCAGGATTTCATCTCGAAGTAACCCTACTATCCAAGTTCCTTCTCCCTCATCTCTAGACAACATTTTACAACACTGTAAGGCCCGGAACCGACCATATATGGTCGATTTCACATTTCCCCAATAAGCCATTGTACAGCCTGGACCCTAACCAGATATGCATTCTACTTTCACCTCCTTGATCAAGAGTTAATTCCCCAGCAGAGTAATGGACAACCGAAGCTCCTAGACTCTACTTCCCAGGACATAAATAAAAATTCCCCGGCAAAGTCCTCCTTAACCACATGTACAAGAATTCTCACCAAGGAATCTCTTATACAATCGATCTTTTCTGGATGGAATCGACAAGCCCATTCCCGATATCACCAATCAGTATTACTTCATGCGAGTTGTTGTACCCCAAAATTTTCCCTCTTATTTTATCAACATTTCTCATCACAAGGCTCTTTGAACTCAAGATCAAGCTAGGGTTTGCTCTGCTCAAGACATCTCCTTGCACTGCTGACCTAAATTTGGGTTTGAGTTTGCACAAGGAATTTTGGACTTTCAATGCTCAAAGTGACTTTCATACTTCATGTTGAACTTACAAGATTACCTCTACCAAGTTTCAAGCCTTGAATCAAATTTTTACCCAGTCAATTGGACAGTTGACCTAGAAATCAGCTGTATTGGGGAAAAAGTCAATTGTGGCCAATTTACAGTCAAACCTCACAATTTTTGATCCACATCAACATTATGAACTCATATGAACCATTTTATCAAATTTGGACCACAACTCCACAAGAAATTTGATCAGATCACCAAAAGGGCAAAATGGTCATTTTTAGGGTTTTGATTGTACACAGGCAATTTATGATTTTTGACCTAGCCAATGGCAAATTAGGTTCAAGCATGGATTCAAGGACTCAATGGAATCATCTTGACCTATTCACAAGGTTCAAAAGATCTCAATTGCATTGGATTGACAGATGAATTTTTCAGTCAACTGATCAAATTTTGACTGTACACTAAAAAGTCAAACTTTGACTTTTTAGTCAAAATCAAGTGCCAAGGGTCATTTTTCATCAAAATATGTCAAAACATGAAACTTGTTCATCAAGAAACCCATTTTTGCAAATTAGGGTTTAAAGTTGAAAAATTTCATAACTTAGAATTTTTCTAAGTTATGAAATTTTCTTAATTTTTCCTAACTTTGACCAACATTTTTACCATGATGCATTTGGATTAAAACAAAACTTCCAACATGAAAGTTGTATTCCTACACAAAGTCTACAACTTTTATTCACAAAGTTTTCCCAAAAGAAGCTTTGATCTCAAGTTATTATTTTTGGAACAAGGGTCCCTAAAACTTTTAACTTAGTGAGATTTTGCCCTAGTTTAGGCAGGATTTTGACCTATCTTCATGGCCATTTTTCACATAGTTCCACTTGGAATCTCAAATTTAATTTCAAATATAGATTGTAGAGCATGTTTCAAGATTTCCAAAATGTCAAAGAACTCTCCAAACTCATTTGTGGTTAGGGAGAATCGAAGGCTTGAAGTTGGCAAAAACTCACTTTTCATCCATGGCATGTTCATTGTGATACAAGTTGCAAATTCAAATCAGCTTGCTTTGCACTAGATTACAGGCCTCAAAACCATTCCAAACTAAATAATTAAGTGCAAAACCATTGGTCTAAGGCATCGTTTTGGTCATTAGAGCATTGCACCTTGGATTAATCCCTAAGTAGAAAGAGGTACATTACCATTTTTGCCATAATCTTGCTTTATGTCAAACCACAATCCTTGAGCATAGAGCCAAATCTTGTGCAGCAAAGCATATCCATCAACTTGAGGGGCCAAGATCAGAGGAAGCAGGATAATAGATAGCCTGTACAGGCTTGTATGACAGCATTGTGCATTTTGGCTTAAAATACAAGAAACATATCAAAAAATACTAGAACTTGAACATCAGCCAAAACCAACTTATGCAAGCATTTGAAACATCTTTCTCACATCCCCTTGAACCATAAACACAACCCTTTGAGCCCTCAAACATCCCATAGCTCAAAATCACCTTCCATTGGCAAAATAGGGCAGCATCTGCATCTTGACTTCCATAGCTCAATTGGCTTGTGCGTTTTGTCCCAAACTGGTTCAAATACCTTCCATTCAATCCACCCAAGCTATCCCAAACCTCAAACACCAACTGTAACTCCATTTACAGGGTTTGCCATTTTCATTTTGAGCTTGTGCAGGTTGAGTTTTGCACACTTGTTCAAGTGCATTCAAGGCAAGCTAGACATTGGAGAAGGTCAAGTGAAGTTCAAGCAAGCTCCCAGACATCTCAGGCCTTATTGAAAAGCTCCACATTGCCATACACGAAGTCAGCTGAAACAAGTTTTTATCAACTTCCTATCTCTCTATTTAGGAATATTTAGACTTAGGTTTGTGAATAAGAAATGTAGTATTCATTGCCATGAAGCTGTACATATGCTCAGTTTTCATTTTTATTAAGCATGCTAAGAGAATTTGATCCATGAATATCTTGAAAAAATTAGGTTAGATTTTAGGGCTAGAGAAATTCTCTCTGGTCTTTGAGAGTTAGGACAAGTTTTTTATATGGTTGAACTCGTCTTGAAAAGCTCTACAACTTTGATGATATGTGTTTTTGCAATAGAACTCGTATGCAGGATGTTCATGTTTGGTACAGGCGCGCACATTTTTTGAAAGACAGAGATTGAAGATGAAGTGTGGTGGGCTGGGCTTGGTCCTGGCTCACTATTGACACCCCCCTTTTACTTTTTGCACCCCCCTGGCCCATTTCTTCATACTTTTGTATTTTTCCATTTTATTTTCATTTCTGATTTTGTTTTCTTATTTTCTAAATATAAAAATACCCAAAAAATATTTTTATAATTTTTTACATTTATTTTATATTTTATTTTATTTCTTTCTAACATGAAAACAATTTAATTAATATGTATTTTATTTATTAAAAACTTAAAAATAATAAATAAGTTATACTTTTATTTTATTATTTTATTCACACTAAAAAAATATTGTTCTAAATATATATTTTTATTTTTGTATATATTTTATTTTATTATACATATTTAATATGATTAATACATACATATAAAAGTATTTAATATGATTAATACATACATATATATATATATATATATATATATATATATATATATATATATATATATATATATATATATATATATATATATATATATATATACATATATATATATATATATATATATATATATATATATATATATATATATATATATATATATATATATATATATATATATATATATATATATATATGTATATATATATATATATGTATATATATATATGTATGTATATGTATATATACATATACATACATATATAATATATATATATATATATATATATATATATATAT